CCGAGGTTCAGGAAACAGCGCCCCGCCGCCTCCCCCGCCGCTGCCTCCTCAGCAGGGCTGCTTCTCCAGTGCGGCCCCTTTTTACCGCTGCCACCAGCAGCAAGGCGGCGGCGTTGGCGTTGGCGGGGGAGGAGGCGGCGGCGGCGGAGGGAGTTGCTGCCCGCCGCCCGGCCCTCCCGCCTCTCCGCCTTTCAGCTTCCAGCCTTTGCGCCGCCTCTCCGAGTCGCCCGTCTTCGATGCTCCTCCCAGCCCTCCCGATTCCCTCTCCGACCGAGAGAGTTACCTGAGCGGCTCGCTCAGCTCGGGCAGCCTCAGCGGGTCGGAGTCTCCCAGCCTGGACTCGGGCCGGCGCCTGCCCATTTTCAGCCGCCTCTCCATCTCCGACGACTGAGGCATGAGAGGAGAAAGTGGGACCAGGAAGGGGGGGGGAGCGAGGGCTGGCCGGCCTCCTTAAGCTGTCGATCTTTGGGGAGCCCCTTCTTTTGGGGACCCTCAGGGCTGGCAGCCACCCCCACCTCCTTCCCTGTGCTCTAGTTTTCTGCCTTCTCCCCCAGGAGCAGAGACTGCAGCCGCCTGGAAAACTAGCCAAGCTCGCACAGACCCTTCATTGTTGTTGCCTCTTTTTCCCTTGCCTTATAATGTGTATTTTTTTGTTGTTTTAAAAAAAAGAGGAAAATCCTTTGATGAGCAGATTCAGAGAAGAGGAAGCAGAAGAAAGGTTTTTATTTTCTATTATCAAGAGATGAACAAAAAAAATCATTTTGCAAAGGGGCAAATGATGTCATCAAGCGAACAATCTTTTTTTTAATATCTAAAGAGACGCTGGAAGGAGGATTTCTTTTTTTTTCTTTTCCTTTTTATTCTCCCTTTTGGAGACTAGTTTAATGTGCACCAGCAGCAGCAGCCATTCCATTTTCAAGTCTGTATGTGGGGAGGGGATGAGACAAAGGGTAAAGATGAGAGCGTTACCAAACAAATTACCCAATCCTGCTCCCCAGGAATCAACAATCAGTCTGGAGGTCCATGAACTCTGCATTCCAGGTCCCTCCAGATTTATATACAACAATAACAACAAAAAAGTGTAAGGAGTGTGAGATTGTTGTTGTTTTGCCTTTCAATCAAATTTAAAGTAAGTGTACTAAATGTATAAGCTTTTAAAAGAAAAATCCAACCATCCTGCCAAGAATATGCCTTGATAACACTCTAGTTTTTTATATATATCTATATATATTATAACATGCTAAAACTTCCATTCCAAAGTTTAATATTGGTTCCATTGCCACCACTTAGTGGATGTTTGGCTTAGAACAATTTTTGTTGCTTTATTTGGAAGCATTCAACTGAGTTTAGTTTGTAATTGATGGCGAATAACTGCTGATTTTTTAATTTTTTTTAGCTGAGTTGATTGCGCAAGTCACTGCACAACTCAATATGAAACTATTTAACTTATTTATTATCTTGTGAAAAGTATACATTGGTAATTTGTTCATACTGTATTTATCGGGTATGATGAAAAGCAATAGATATATATTCTTTTATTATGTTTAAATTATGATTGCCATTATTAATCGGCAAAATGTGGAGTGTGTTCTTTTCACAGTAATATATGCCTTTTTGTAACTTCACCTGGTTATTTTATTGTAAATGAGTAAAATTCTTAATTTAAGAGATTGTATGTAATATTTATTTCATTAATTTCTTTCCTTGTTTACGTAAATCGAAAGATTGCATTGGATTTTTTTATAGAAATCTGACTCAATGCTGTGGAACTAGTTTTGAGAAATTTCAATGGGTTTTTAGAATGTACAATGTTTGTAACCCGTCCAAACTTAGACCTACTTTGCAATCAGAATTTAAAGTGGGAAACCTAATTCAAAATTATAAAATTAACCAAAAAAGTATTCACGTTGCCTAACTTCACCAATCACACTGTGATAGTCTCAAAAGTATGTAGCAATAAAAGGGTGGGGGGTGGGGTCCCAGTATTACGTTTCATAGTGCCTTCATAAGGGTCCATGCTTGCCTTAAATCTTCCTCAACCAAATAAGTATTTTTCTTAAGGCTTGAGAATTTGAATGTAGGGCTGGGTTTTTAACTACAAGAAGTTGTACCACTCTTTTGTAAGCAAAGAAGCCATCCTTTTGCCACCTTTTGGATCTGAACTTTTTTGCATACATGAGCATATCTTTATTAAAGTTCCAAAATGAGTAACTTCTTTATTGTTTAGAAAGTCAAAAGTTACCCAAAACTTTCCTTGAAAGGTGGATGAACGAGCAGTACCTTTTAAAAATGTACATAGGTACAGGTTCAGCACTATGTACTCTTTGGACTACTTTAACAGAAGTATGTTTTGAATGTAACTAGAAAATGAGTCAACTTGAGTTGTAATATATTTTGGAGAGTCAGTTCACTACATATTTGGAGTGTGAGACTGTAAACTTTGTACTGTAAATGTTTTGTAGTTCTCCCAATAAAAAAATTTGAGGAAAAAAAATCCCAAGCTATTAAAGCCATGTCTGCAAGGTGGTGCTTCTTTATTAGCTTTCCCCTATCAGTATGGTGTCTAGCTACAGATTAACCTGGCTTTGAACTGCAAAATTGCTCCATTCCTGCAGAAATACCTTGGGAGGCAGCCAAAACCAATAAACTGTTCCAGAAGGTTCCAAAGTACTATTGCAAAAACCACACACAGTCTTGTATGCATCAGCTGAGGGGAGGGGAAGGGAAGGTGCCTTTTCTTGGTGATCTTCACAGCTGTTCATTAAAATAAGTATATAGTCATGAGCTCAGTAATATAAAAAGCCAGTAGAGCTTTATTTACGCACAGCACTATAAATTTTTGTGCAGACTGGAAGATAAATTATGCTAGCAGATTTGGAGGAAATGGTAATGAGGGACAGCAAAGGAACAGAAACTAATAGCTGGTTGTTCCAAATCTGGGTTGGTTAAAAGTCTGGGCCACTGAAAAGTAACAAAGGGAGTGTTCCAGATTTTTTTTATGTAGCTCAATAGTGCATCTATTAAAAATGCATTTCATTAGGGGGAAGGGCCCAGCATGGGTTGATACTTATGCCTTCTGGGTACATCCTTTTCGCAGTACCACTCAAGATCTACTGGTTCTTGTAAACCAAAGAATAAAACTCCACTTAGAAAGTCTGTGAAAAAGTATTCCAGTGTATAGAAAACTAGCACATGTAAGAGCAGAATAACACCTGGGTTTCCATGTGACAGGACTACATAACATCAGGCAAGCCCTTTTAAAAATGGATTCAATTTTGGCCCATGTGATTCTTTGTGAAACCTCACTCCTTTTGCAAACTCTTCAGAGCTGTTGGTCTTCAAACATGACAGTTTTTAAAGATTTTTACAATGCATTTATATTTTGAGAGTATCCCCTCTATGTTGCTTTTTCTATCAGAATGCATTCTATAAATAATAGCTAGAATTCAGTGTTGCTACCATAAAGCAACAAAGCTTGGGCTGAGTTTCAATATTGAGTTTAATGTTAGCTCAGCTGTGAAACACACACTGGAAAAGCCTTTGAAAATAGTTATTCCTACTGGGGTCTTGGTGGCTTTGAGGCTGTAGTTTGTGTAGATTCACATGAGTTAAACCGTAATTTCTATAAAGGTTTTGCTAGTAGATAAAAGACCTTGCCAGGAAAACATTTGCATTTGAGTCCAATTTAAGAGTAATTATCAGATTTTAGAAGTAAGCATTCTAGTTTGCAACTCTGCTATTAATGTTCACCAAGTACTGCCTTACTGGCTCATTTCTCTCCACCCACCTGTTAACAGTAAATTTGTGTGATCTGGGGCTTACTATGTTTGAATACAGTCAGCTGTATGTTGTATCCAGGCTACTGCCTGACAGTCCTCAAAGCCTTCTAGTTTTATTGATTACTAGGGGAGCTGGGAAGGGGGTCTTGTGTTTGCATTCACCTTAATTCAGCTCTAAACCATTAGATGGATCTGCATTCTGGAGTCAAGAATGTGTACTTTTCCTCCATCCTGTATATTATACTCTAATATATAATAAAGCTGAGCATTTGTAAATAGATTTCAACAGATGCAAGACAGCCACTGTGGTGTAGAGGTTAGAGGAGGGACTAGAAGTTGGGAGAGCTTGGTTCAGATTCCTTTGAAATGCAGTGGTGGGTTTGGACCAGGCACACACATTCATCCTGGAGTCTTGTGAATATAAACCTGGGAAGACACATACACCACATTGATCTTATCGGAGGAAATGCAAGATATAGATGATAATGTGTGTGAAACCAAGCCATCTAACAGGCTTTTCAGGTAGGATAGAATTATTCCTACATGTACTGTGGAGCAAAAGGTAAAAGGTGATCGTTTCCCTCTAGCCTTTTGGCAAGTGCATGGAAAAGCTCAGATTCAAGGGGTGGGGTGGGGGGGACTGGTAAATTAATAGCCTGGCTTTTTAAACAGAGCTACACTTCTTTAAAGAGTTTTTAAAAATTGGTCCTAAAAATATAGAAGGGCAGAAACAAAGCCCCAAAGTGTCTTCCTTTTCCTTACTCCTTTCCATTCCTTTATTCATTAACAAGCTCAAGGAGTGAGTCATAGCAACAGTCCAGGCATTTCCTGATTGGGGTATGAAGCCTGAAAAGCAGCTGTTTTCATATTACACCCCTTTCGTCTACTGTCTTGCTATTTTTGTGGTGTGTGGCAAAAAGATTGCCTTGAGTGGTTAGCTGTAACATGCTGCAAATGTATTCTAGAACCAATTATTAGAATTTAACTCCTCCTTTCTTGTCCATAATATTTGCACGAACCATTAACTTTTGAAAAAAACAGTGAAGCTGGTAAAACACACATTTTCCCTTAAAGTCAGAGGCAGTATCGACTTTTCTCAGTGTTTGGAGCACTTCTGCATCATCTGGTGAAAGGATAATGTCACTTTTGTGAAAACGATATTTCGGAAAGGATACAGGATTCTTCCATAGCTGCCTGTGAATTGTTAATGTGTGTCCTTTGCCTACAAAAGCATGGAATAGCAGACACATGAATTTTTATAAAGCCTACAATAACCAGAGCTATGGAATTGCAGTTCAAAATAGTAATGATTTGAAGCTCCTGAGAAATAGTTCTTTTCACTCTCTAGTTACATTTAGTAGCATTAAGAAGAACTATTGTCCCATTCTGTCTATGTGCAGGTAAAGGTTCCCCTTGACATTTAGACCAGTCTAGGGCGTGGTGGAGCTGGGACAAGAGACAGGAGCTCACTCCATCACGTGGATTCGATTTTACGACTGCTGGTCTTCTGACCTTGCAGCACAGAGGTTTCTGCAGTTTAACCTTCAGCGCCACCACGTCCCTGTGAGGTAATGACTACTAAACAGATATTATGCATATTGCAAATACCACAATTTGTCATATTGGGGTAGGAGGTGGGTATGTAGGATCTGCTCTCTGGAGAATGGCTGAAGCCCAGAGGGGGTATCAAAGCCCAGCAAATCTAACCAAGGGGCTTATGCATGGATTTTAATGTTAGATACAACATCCAGTCGCCTCTGGAACTGTTAAAAGAGTATGGTTACGTTGCTGAAACTATGGCAGAAAAAAAGCAGTTTGTGGTTGTTGCCTTTTCCAGAAATTGGAATGTTTTTGTTCCAGTAGAACTTTTTATGATCTCCCATAATGGGTATCTATGGGAAAAGTTGCAGGACATCCATGGATATTATGGACACAGCACAAAAGAATCAGAGGGAGACTAAGCCAATTCAGGGGCAAGGATCATGTATGTACATTGCGCAAACCCACAGGCACTTATCTTTGAAAGTGTAGCCAGTGGAGGAAGAAACTAACCTGGAGCCTGAAATAATTATAATTCCTTTACTCCTTAAGAGAAAGTAATTCTGCCACTGAGGACACAGTTGTAATGAGAAGGAAACCTAATGCTCACCATCTTCCTTCTCTGAAGCTCATTAACTATGTCTTGCTTCATAAAACCAACAAAGAATCTTGTAGTATATTAAAAACATAACTACTTTTATAAGCTTTTATTTTATTTTTTTCCCCAGTCAAGAAGCACTTCCTGAGATTCTTTGTTAGCTGCTAAGGTGCCACAAGACTCTTTGTTGCTTCTGCTGCAACAGAATAGAGACCAAAACAACGACACAGCTATTCCTATGAAAAATCTCTTGCTTTTCTTTCATTCAGCGCAAAGCAAGTTTTATCTTAACCAGTTTCCCATCCCACTGACTGAACAAACAAACTTCACAGGAGATCTTACCTGCTCTAACAAGAGGTGTTTTCATTTTCACACTGAACATACCTACCTCCTTGGGGATCAGCACGGTTACTTTACTGCAAGGTGGTGTGGTGAAGTTGCCTTGGCAGCACTTGTCATTAAAAAAAGCTATAGCAGCATAATGAAAGACAAATGCAGTATGTAAGGGTGATCAGCTGATCTGGTTTGTTCTACAGAGCACCCTTCGCTGGCTGAAGGTCTCTGGTCCAACCCCATGCCTCGGTTTAAAAAAGAATCAGGTAACAGGTGATGAAGAAAGACCTCTTTCTCAGACCCTGGGAAGCTACCATCAATCAGATGACATAATACCAGCTGGTTTGACCCTGTATACATCTAAGTCTGCATGTAATTGGCTGTGTTGGTGACAGGACTCTGGATATTTCACCTTTCCTACTTTTCAGAGATTGGAAATATATGTCAGGTTTTGGACTACAATTTCCAGAATGCCTCCAATCAGCAGAGCACTTTTCAAAAAGTAGCTTTTTCAAGCATTGGGATGTTGCTTCTTGTGGAGAGAGGTTTGGAGCTAAATGGGAAAGCCTGGTTTCCGTGTGTACTGTGTTTCAGGGAGTCTCTGTGGCTACTTGGAAGTTTATCAGAAGTTCCTTAGAACAGTGGTCCCAAACCTTGGGCCTCCAGATGTTCTTGGACTTCAACTCCCAGAAATCCTGGCCAGCAGGTGAAGGCTTCTGGGAGTTGTAGTCCAAGAATATCTGGAGGCCCAAGGTTGGGGACCAGTAGTGCTGAGCAGGTCTTAGAAAACCAGTAGTGGTGAGCGGGCTTCCTAGAAGGGTGGGTGTCTCCTAGCAGCTCACACAACCTCTAGGACAGGAGCTCCCAACCTTAGGCAACCCAGGTGTTCTGGGGCTGCAACTCCCAGAAACACCAGCAAACACAGCTGGTGTTTCTGGGAGTTGCAGTCCAAGAACACCTGGGTTACCCAAAATTGGGAACCACTACTGATCATCAAAACTACCAATATGAATTTGAACCAACTCCAGGAGGCAGTGGAGGACAGGGGCCTGGCGTGCTCTGGTCCATGGGGTCATGAAGAGTCGGACATAACTAAACAACAACAACTTGAAGAAAATGTTCAGTGTGTTCATGCATGGAAGTGAACAGAGGGGGTATCAAAGCCTACTGAGGTTTCTTTGTGTATGTTTGTTTTGTGAACTGGGGAAGGTAGGCAAGGTCTTCTGACCTTTAGTAGTTTTAAAAATGGCAAGGACCAGC